TGCTGATAAACTCTTTCAAAATAACTTGTATTCTCAGGTCATCAGTAGACAGGTACCGAGGCCAGCTTTTGAGAAGATGGAGCGCATTCAAGACTCATCTTATTATTTTGATATACGTTATTTTTGGTGTCTACAATGCACAGAACACACTTGTATTAAAATTATATATTTAATGCAATGGATGATGTTGTTTGCTTATTTACATTTACTGTGTTGTGATACTTACATGACATCCTCCGCCCCAGAACGTTTCCGCCGTTCTTGGTTTTGGGGTGTGACATTGAACCTCATCCGACTTCCGCTTCTTGATCTGCTCCAGATCAATCTCCTTCTCTCTGGCCTGAGCAATCATATCCTCCAGCGTTTTGTAGCTGGACCCGCTCACAAACTGCCTGATGTCATATCTCAGCATTTCATGATATCGAGCTTTCTTCGTCTCCTCGTCCGCCACATACTGAGGAACCAAGAGAGCCCTCTCCCTGAACTTGGTAGTGCTCTCCGTCACTGTCTCTATAGTCTGCTGAAGATCCTGGAACTCTCGTGCCAACTACTGCACCTCAGTAATTGGTGCAAACTCAGCCCTGAACCTAATCGAGAAATCACTCCATGACATCACGTCCAACGCGGCACCATCCTCCAAGGCATGAACAACCTCCTCCCACCAATCTCGCGCTCTGCCCTTCAGAAGATAGGATGAGAGTCTGACCTTGTCCCCCTTGGGCCACCGGATCGTTCGGAAAACGTTCGCAACATCTGCCAACCACCTGCTACTAGCAATGGAGTTTCTACCCCCATGATAATCTGGTGCTCCACAAGCTCTAAACTCTCGAAATGTCAACGTACACACTCTTATCAAAGCCATCATCTCTGTGTGAAAGGCTCCAAGCCTCTCATCCAAAATCTCTAGTATACCCTCTTTGACCGTGCCAAAGGTCACATGAGTCTGGTCTAAGATACTGCGCGTGATCTCAGCTGATACAAACTCTCTCATACGCTCCTCGAGCTACTCGGTCCCTGAACCCGAGCCTGATCCCTCTCCGGCGCCTAATCCACACACTAGCCTTTCACACAAAGTCACCATGCTGAAACCATATCACAATAACTATCAAAATAAATTTCACTGTTGAGGGATTATAGATACACACTACAAGTTCCCTGGCTTTGTCTTGTCCCCTCTTGAATCGAGTACGGATCCTATGCTTTCAGTAGTAGGGGCCTACACTACCTTCCACATGTTTCCATACTTTCATCAAGAACTGTCTTGACCCTACCAAGACCCTTCTACTGCTACTGATCTCTTCAACTCTCATCCTAGGCTTTCACTAGGGAACATCTCTGACTCCACCCAAACCAATCCTCAGCTGCTGAGGGCCTTCTTGTAATGCCAATTAGCCATCACCTGAATACCATTATATGGGACGAGGCTCAGATAATCTTTCGAGTAAAAGACTCATCCCTATAATGGTTAGACTCAGATGAGAGTTGCACAATAGGATCAAATCCAGCACTCTGAGATTATTCAACCCTAATCAGATGTGATGTGACCTATTCACCTAATGGCTAACTCCCATCACTTAGAGTCCCACCAAGCACAAAGCAAGTAGCATTCAGATATAGGAAACTACTCAGGCAAATCTATCCTCATAATAAGAAACTGTACTAACATACAATGTTAAGCTCATACTATCAGGCATAACGTAAACATGCTATCCTACTACTGTCTACTCAATACTAGCATGCAATTCCCATAAAGTTGGAACACATATAGGAGGAACATAAGGCATCCTCCTAGATCCTTAGTCCTATTCTAGCGTGCTGTCCTACTGAAACTGAAACTGATAATCATAACATAAACTTGTATGGGTAAATTGGGAGTACTTACTTGAGCTCGACTGATACCATGCACCACACCCTTTTCTCTTTTCAAAGTTCTTTTCTTTCCAAAAATTCTTTTCACTTTTTCTAAAACTCTTTTCTCTTTAATTTTCCTTTTCAAAAATTTCTTTCGAAAGTGGTTTTCTTTTGAAAACCTCATACCGTTTCCTTAGTTTGAGTTCAGACACACCTGAAAGTGTGTCTGAATCCCTCAAACCAAGGCTCTTATACCAACTTGTAACATCCAAAAAATACAGTCTAAAACTTTTGTTTGAAAAACATTACTTAAACCACGATTGTCAACCCATAAAATAAATCATAACATAAAATCAAAGTGTTAATTCAAAACATATTCTTATTATCAGAGTAAAACATCCCAGGCTGACTAACTATGGTGTGTGCCATGTGATCATCCCAAGCTCCTCCCTCCGCTACCGGAAGTACTTGAAACCAAAACTGAAATCTGTAAGCACGAAGCTAGTGAGCTCCCCCAAACTACCACATACCATACAATAACATATAAACCACATACTGGGCCTTGCCCACTACATCAGACCGAGGTCCGGACTAACTGGGGCCTTACCCCTGCATCAGACCGAAGTGCGGACTAACTTGGGCCTTGCCCACTGCATCGGACCGAAGTCCGGACTAACTGGGGCCTTGCCTTCTACATCGGAACGAAGTCCAGACTAACTTGGGCCTTGCACGCTACATCAGACCGAAGTCCGGACTAACTGGGGCCTTGCCCCCTATATTGGACCGTAGTCCAGAAACTGACTGAAGATAGCATAGAATAATCATAACTACTAGCATAAACATATATACTGCATAATGCATCAGACCAAAGTCCGAAACACATAACACAAAAACATGCTTGAATAACAAAGACATCAAGCACACTGAACTTCTACGTTGGACCGAAATCCGGAACTACTGCTAACTAAACGAGCCGACACTATGGCCGTTGACCCGTTCCTACTGGAAGGAAACTCACCTGAACTGCTGAACTCTGCTGATCATCATCTGGTTGCTAATCGACTATTCTCTAAAGCGGTGCCCTCCTAGCTCATTGAGATACCAACATCAAATAATAGAATCTAGCCTAAATTGTCCTCCAGAGGTCAGTTAAGTCAAATCTGGTCAAGGTCCTGGTCAAAGTTATCTTTCCAGTTGACCTGACTTGTCGAGTTTTTCTATCAACTCGCCGAGTCCATGCCCCTCTATCTCCAGAACAACCCCGACTCCAATCGTCGAGTCTGGCAATAACTCGACATGTTCTCCTTCAACTAACACTTCGAGACCATCTTCAACCGACTTGCCGAGTGCATCTTCGAACTCGCCAAGTTCATCATCATCGCATGAAAGTCTAGGATTTGACTCGCCGAGTTGTATGAACAACCCGTCGAGTTCATCTTCATAACTAAGAAGATTGTCTTAGAATCGCTGAGTTCCTCATTTAAATCGTCAAGTGCTATGATCTTCATAACTATTATGGGTCCTGACTGACTTAATCCTCCTTAACCCCACTCACTGATCCAACTTATAAACATAAGGATTTGGGTTTGCAACCTGACTCACCGAGTCCATGTACTGACTCGTCGAGTCCTCTTTGTGACATCTCTACTCTGTCGATTTTAGTCCATCCCAACACCTCAAACTCATAGATTTGGACTCCTTATGCTAGCATTACACGTAAAGTTGCTAACTTTACGTGCATGCAAGGTGTTATGAGGCTAGAACACCAAATCCAAGCTAATTATGAAGATGAAGGTCAAGAAATGGAACCCTAACTAGATAAAGCCAACCACTTTGAGTTTCCAAAGCTCAAAATTGTCCAGAACTGCTTTCCAATCCATCCTCAAAGGCTTATCACCCAGATTCTACTTGGAAATGGTCCAATTGTGAAAAAAAGGAAAAGTTAGAAAGAGATCTATCGATTAAAAGCTCAAGATTCATACTTTCTGTTTTCTTGTAGCGACACGTATCAGGAGTGGAACACACAAGTGGCGACACTAAAACTCTAGTCGTAACTGCCAATATTTCTTGTAATGGTGCTTCATATTACAAATATGGAATACAATTCAATATACTTTTAATAACTAGACCACAAATACCAAAAACCACTTCATATATAAAATAAAATAGTTAATATTTCTTCAACTAAGAATTATTTGGATCATCTGTAAATATATAATAATATATGTGCGTCATGTTAACGTTTCAGCATCAAGACATACAACTATGCAAACATCTAAATATATAAATAGAATTTTCCATTGAAATTTGAGAAGTAAATTGTAGTTAAAGTTATATTTATAACTTTATGTTTAAACTTTTTTAATATAGAGTAAATTACACGAATGGTCTCTATGGTTTCGGGTAATTTGCATGCTTGGTTCCTAATTGTTTTTTTAACTTGAAATGTCTCTACTGTTTGTTTTTTTTCGTGCGTTTGGTACCTGCTGTTTCTTTTTATTACGCATTTGGTTCCTGTCTTATTTAAAAGAATATTATTAAAATAGAGAAAAATGGTGGGTAGGTAAGGTAAGGTGGCCAAACACGTAACCAAAACAAATAATATTTAAAAGAATATTATTAAAATAGAGAATATTATTAAATAAATTAAAAAATCAATGAAAATATTGTCTTTTTAGGTAAGAAAATGACCAAACACGTAACCAAAACAAATAATATCGACTTTCCGAGTTAAAAAAATAAGTTAACGACCAAATACGTAAACTACCTAAACCAAAGGGACCATTCGTGGAATTTACTATTTAATATATTAGGATCTTAATATAAAAATAAGCATAAAGAAAATTAGTCACTTGAAATTTATTGAGTCAATGTAATGAATATATGCAAGTATAGTTTTTGGATAAATGTCAGTACCCAGTAGCGCAAGTGTGTCGTTAAATTTCCCAACTCTTCGACTATAAATAAGAGACAGCCAACCCCAAAGAGCATCACCTGGTGAACTATTCAATCACTCACACATAACTTCTCTCTAAAGGTCTTTCTTTTTCCCATGCGATTTACGTTACTGTAATTAATTCTATCTATGTTTAGTTTACATAAATCTCACAATACTTTTGACATTTGAAGGTTAATCGTCTACCAACAACATGTGCGCAGGTGGTCGAATGTCATATCCATTTGATGACAAAAAGATTTTGGAGCGAGTCCCGGTTGGTCTACCATTTTCGTTAAGTGATTTAAAGAAAGCGATCCCTGCCCATTGCTTCAAACGATCTGTCATACGTTCATCTTACTATGTTGTTCACGACCTCATTGTTGCCTACGTTTTCTACTTCCTTGCAAATACATATATTTCTTTTCTTTCTACTCCTCTAGCTTACTTAGCTTGGCCAGTTTACTGGTTCTGTCAAGCTAGCATCCTCACTGGATTATGGGTCATCGGTCATGAATGCGGTCACCATGCCTTTAGCGAATACCAATGGATTGATGACACTATCGGCTTTATCCTCCACTCAACTCTCATGACACCCTATTTTTCATGGAAATATAGCCATCGAAATCACCATGCCAACACAAATTCACTTGATAATGATAAAGTTTACATTCCTAAACGGAAGTCGAAAGTCAGGTGGTACTAAAAAATTCTTAATAACCCACCTGGTCGAGTATTCACTTTAGTTTTTAGGTTCACCCTAGGATTTCCTTTATACCTCTTAACTAATATTTCTGGCAAGAAGTATGGAAGGTTTGCCAACCACTTTGATCCCATGAATCCAATTTTCACCGAGCATGAGCGAATTCAGGTTCTGCTATCAGATATTGGCCTTCTTGCCGTCTTTTATGCAATCAAGCTTGCTGTAACATATATGGAGTTCCGGTGCTAGGAGTTCATATGTTTTTCGTTATTATAACGTATTTGCACCACACTCATCTATCATTGCATCATTATGATTCAACCGAATCGAACTGGATCATAGGGGCCTTGTCAACAATTGATAGGGACTTTGGATTTCTGAATAGGGTCTTCCATGGTGTTACACAAACTCAGTTTTTGCATCACTTGATTTCGTACATTCCACATTATCATGCAAAGGAGGCAAGAGATGCAATCATTCCAGTTTGGGTGAGTTTTATAAGATCGATAGGACTTCAATCTTTAAAGCCATGTGGACGGAAGCTAAAGAATGCATGTATATCGAGCCTGACCAAGCTAGCGAACACAAAGGTGTTTTTTAGTACCATAAAATGTGATCAATTGCTGAATTCATATTCCCTTCAACATTATATATATATATATATATATATATATATATATATATATATATATATATATATATATATGTATCGTGTGCGTAAATAAACTACCACAAATCAAAGTTTTAGTTGTTTTTACCGAACAATGTATTTCACGTAAAGATGGGTCTTGATTGTACTGTATAAAAGTGTTTGGGGTTGCTTTTTATATTTTTTTTTTTATTAAAATAGAGATTGAGAAAAACTATTCACATTAGTTTATACAGTGAGAAAAAACAATAAGACTTGTTCATAGAATTTACTCTTTTGGACTTGAAGCGGAGGTTCCCTCAAATTTTATTAATTTTCCTTACGCTTAGTCAAACTGTTCCAATCATGAAAACAACGATTCCACTGGACCTTGTAAATACCCATAGTTAGATGGAATCAATTTGAAAGGGCATGAATACTTAATAATTGATGAGAAATCATGAGCACAAACTACTTACACCCTTAGTAACGTCGGCGACGGCGACGGCGGCGGTGGTGGTGGTTGTGGTAGTGGCGGTTGGTGATCGGTAGCAGTAGTGGTTGCTGTTAGTTTTTTGATAACTAAATAAGCTGTTTTTGTAATGTGTCACTTTATTTGATGAGAATTCTTTAATAAAAATGAATGTTTTTCATACAACTCCTAAACAAATCCAATTTCCTTAGTACAACAAAAAATTTATTTCATTTAGAAATCTTTTCCTCCTCTAATAGAAATCTTTTCCTCCTCTAAGTCTGACCAAACACATAAATTCGAGGGAACTGGAATCTATGGCCATCTAAGTCCAACAAAATACTTGAATTCGAAGGAATTAGGCTGGTGGGAGTGGGATCGGCAACCCACTCGGTGAACACCGGACCAAGGACTCGGGAACACGGAAGCAATACACTGATTAGAGAAAAAGGGTTGTTGGATGAATTTAATTATTTTTTTTTTAATGTTTGACTTGGTCAAATGACCATCTTTTTTAAAGTATCGAAAAATGTCAATTATTTTACCCTATATAAATACATTTACATACCATATTTCATCTCACTTCACCTTCTTCATTTTTTTACTTAAACATCATAAATTTTTTTCAAAAAATCGTTTCTCCTTCCAACCCAAAAGCTAAAAAAATTCCAAAAGAAACACCTAAAGCACAAAGCCAATATCCTTTCTTCATTGTAAGGCCTCGATTTTTAGGAATTTTCAAATTCATCTCTTGGTTTTAAAGTGTATCATTTTGGTCCTTGTTTTGGAAGGAAATGATCACAAGAAGCCCTTGTGGCAAAATGGTAATTTTGGGAGAAGGTGTGATAAGTTAAGCGTACACGTGAATACGCTAAGCGTACTAGGGTGTGCCCTAGTACATTGGGCGTACACATATGTAGGTTTAAAAGAAACCCTAAGTTTCAGAGTTTTTGGGGTATTTAACTACCTTTATGGATCATTTTGCCTTACTCTTTTAGCCTCCATGTCTTTGAGCCATTTTTTGGTAAACCCTAACCCCATAAGTAAGTGTGTGGAGTTTAAAGTGTGATGTTGGTGGGCTTAAAGGAAAAGGAAGTGCAACAAGGAGTCGTTGATGGAAAGCAAGCTTGTAGATCTTAGATCATCATCTCATTTGGAAGCACGATAAGGTAAAAAGTTGCTAACTTTATGATTTGTTTGCTTGTATCTCATTTTGGTAGCTTTATGATATTCTTCTTGTCCTAAATGTCTCATTTTTATGCATGTATGATTTTTGTCATCTTTGGTTGTCCTTTCAGACCCTAGGGTTCTAAGCCATAAAAATGAGGTCCCTTTAGCTAGTTTGGCTCCATGCTTCTTATATACAGTCTTATTTGATGAAGACCATGTATTAAGGACTTTTTGGACATATAAGTCATAAATTTGGAGACTTTATGACCCTGGAGTGCATTTGGATCATGGATCTGAAGTTTGGGCTTAAGTGACTAATCCATTAAGCACTTATGAAGAAATTAAGCCTTGCGAGGGTGCATCTGGCATAGGGAGGTGTACGCCTCGCGTACTCAATCTACTCCCCCGATGGTGGATTCTATGCAGCTTCGTGTACGTTGAGCATACCTCAAGAATATGCCCTATGTACGCGATAATTTGCGCCTTTTCATTTTGGGCATCGGTTTTGGACTCGGGTTGTCTTGGGCCATGTTGGGCCACCTGGATTTTATGGTTTGGGCTTCTTTTTGATGGATTTTCCGGGGTGAAGAATCACGAATGGAAATGGGCCCAATTTAGAAAATTAGGCCATATTTGGTTCTTAGATGTTTGTTTTGGATTTTGGGCCTTTGATCATCTAGTTTGGGCCTTAGCTTTGTGCCAAGCTTGAGAAGGGTAAAAAGGTCTTTTACCCTAGTTTGGACTCAAAGCGTGAACCAGGGGGCTAGATGCGGATGGGTTGTTTTTGTGGTATTTGATAGTGCATGGATCATAGTGAATCTGCAGTCAGAGATTATTCATGGGACCAGCTGTGATGAGGTGTTGTCTTGATATTGGCTATTCGGCGATCTGGCAACTAGCAGTCAGGGATCATCTTTATGTTTTGCAACATGAGGTGAGTTCTTCTCACTGTACTCTCAGGTCGAAGGCACCAAGTTCAGCCTATCAGTTTGATAACATGATATCGTTTATATGTTGAGTATGGGATAAATATGCATGTTAGTTTTGATATGCTAGTCTGGTAGTTCTGTAGGACTACCTATGATTCTATCTGCATGATTATATGTACATGTTTGTTATCTTTCGACATAATGTCTTTGTGTTGGGTATACTATATTGCTTCATTGGGCTTATTTAATTAGCCCTTTTGTATTCGGTATTGGGCCTTTCCATGTCGTGTCATTAATTAGGGTTAGAGTATATATATAGTGCATGCATTCACCATAGTTAGTATCGACCTGATTACTTTGATTGTAACCCTAGCACACCTCTATAGTAGCAATTTTGTATTAGAGTTCTTCTGAGGTTGTGCCTAATAATCATTCGGCACCTTGTTGATTCATATTGTGTTCTTACATTACTTCGTGTTCATATTATACTTGTTCTGAATCTATTTGATCTATAATGATTTTAGTCTTAACAATTGGTATCAGAGTAGGAGACTGTGTAAATCATATGCATCTCTTATGTTTGAAGAAATCATTAGGGTTTCCACTATTATCGAATCTGTTGGAGCCGCCATCACTTTGTTGACGCTACTCTGTGATCTTGATATTACCCTAATACGATCTTATGGGTCTGATTCTTAACAGGTACAGAAAAAATAGTCAACATGTCGCACAACGATTTTCAATCCATTCCAAGAATTTTGATTCTATATCCTCACGAGTACGATGTATGGTCTCTTCATTTTGAAGACTATGTTCTTGGCTCAGAAGATAATGGGTATATGATATGGGAAGCTATTACTTTTGGTCCTTTTTTTCACTCTAAAACCAAAAGAATCATTAAAACTTAGAAGGAATACAACCAGTTGTTTGTTGATATGACGGAGGTTCCTAAGGATGAGAAAGAATAATTGATCAGCAATATTAAAGCAATGAGAGTTATAAGGTTCGCTCTACAGTCTGATACATTCCTCTTGGTGAGTTGTAACATCCCAAAAATCATGAACAAAAATTTCATTTTAAAATCGTTAATCAACCATGATCAAGTCATACATAAATCTTTATATGAAATCAAGTATCATTTCAAACATATTTATTTTAGTAGAGTAAACATCCTAGGCTAAAAACTCCTTGGTGTGTGCCATGCGATCATCCTGAGCTCTTCCTTTTGCTACCGATAGTACCTAAAACGAAAAATAAACCGTAAGCACGAAGCATAGTGTGTTTCCCATACTACCTCATACCAGACATATATCCACATACTGCCCCCCCCCCCCCCCCCCCCGCTCGCTGCATCGGGACTTGCCCGACATCGGACTTGCTCCGGCATTAGGCCCCGCCCGGCCTCATGCCCCGATCGGTATACATATCTCTTTCTCTTAGGCCCGGCCTACTTCTGGGTCTTGCCTGTTATACACATAAAATCATATAAAGATGATAACACATAAGAAAACATACCTTACTGTATTCCTGTCCTAAGGCCTCGCCCCTGACCTGCTACTGATGAGTCATGGAACCCTGTCCACACTGCTGCTGATATTGAGATACAGGCCCCTGCCCACACTCACTTCTCCCATATCTCAGGCCCCGCCCCTGATCTACAACTAATAAGATACGAAAACCCGTACATTCTCAGGTAGTGAAGAGATTCGGGACCTTGCCCACACTCACCTCCGTACCAGGCACATACAAGTATCACCTAGACAACAAGTATAACGAGCATACGAACATTCCTCGGGCCTCGCCCGACATCGGAGTGTAATCCGGAACATATACCATGACAATGCCTAGGGCCAACCCCCAGTTTTTCCTACTATACATTAACAAAATGGGTTGGCATTGGTTCCTTAGACCCATACAAACAGTGAGGAGACTCACCTTGTACTGATGAAGTCCTACTAAAAACTCCTCTGGCTGCTAACTGGAACTTCCCGAACTGTTGATCCTTCGGCTCCCCGAGCTATCAATACTAAAATATCACTTAGGCCCCATT